AGAAATTGAATCTGAAAAGGCACAAAGAGCTTTAGAAAAAGAAGAACGGGAATTGAAACGAATTGAAACGATTATAAAAGAATTAAATATTAAATATGAATCTGCCATGGCGGAAAGACAGAAACTTCAAGAAGAAACGAATCTTTTGCAACGTAGGCTAATTGCCGCCGACAAATTAATCGGCGGTCTCTCGTCGGAAAATATTCGTTGGCAAAATGAACTGAAAGGGTTACACGAGGAAGAAGAAAAGATAATTGGAAATAGCCTCCTTTCTTCAGGATTTCTCGCTTACTGTGGGCCATTTTCATACGAATTCAGAAACAATATGATTTACAATGACTGGCTGAGAAGCATCATAGAAAGAAAGATACCGCTTTCGCAACCGTTTAATATACAGACACAGCTTAGCGACGATGTGGAGATCAGCAAGTGAGTTGAGAAAAATATTCTTTAACTTGGTCAAACCGATTATAATATCGAATCGAACGTGCGCCATTAATCTTCAAGATGGACCTCGGAAGGGCTTCCGCCGGATGAGCTTTCCGTACAAAATGGTATCTTAACGTTGAAAGCTTCAAGATTCCCATTGTGCATTGATCCTCAGCAACAAGCATTAGAGTGGATTAAAAGAAAAGAGCGAAATAAAAACTTGAAGATTATTTCTTTTGCCGATACAGATTTTTTGAAACAAGTCGAACTGGCAATAAAATATGGTTTGCCAATTTTATTTCAAGATGTTGACGAAATCGATCCTGTTCTATATAATGTTTTATCTAAAAACATTCAATGTGAGAGCAAAACTTGTAGAATATTTAAACGGTAGCCGTTTGTAGGATGCACCCATTATTTATCTGATTAATTTTAAATTGTATTACAGCGATAGCAGGACGAACCTTTGTTATATTGGGTTCTAAAGAAGTCGATTACGATCCACGGTTTCGCATATACTTAACGACCAAAATGTCGAATCCTGACTTTAATCCTGCCGTCTATTCGAAAGCCATTGTCATAAACTACACGGTAACTACTGCCGTAAGTATAAAGACGGTTATTAAGAAAAAAAAGGGGGAAAAATGATAACTTTGACGATAATCAGATTCAATTAAAAATAGGGTCTAGAAGATCAATTGTTGTCAGTAGTAGTGAGGACCGAACGACCAGATATCGAAGAACAACGTGAAAGGCTTATAGCTGAAATAAGTGAAAATAAAAATTTGCTCAAACAATTAGAGGACAGTCTTTTACGAGAAATCGCTATGAACCAGGGCAATATGCTGGATAACATTGATTTAATCGAAACATTAGAAAATACCAAATCGAGCGCTAGCGAAGTAACAACGAAACTATTTCTTGGTGAAGTCACAGCGGTTGATTTAAATAAATTACGGGACGGTTATCGGCCAGTAGCAAAAAGAGGGGCTATTTTATTTTTTGTTTTAGCTAAAATGCCAACGGTGAATAGAATGTATCAATATTCCTTGAACAGCTACGTCGAAGTTTTCGTATTTTCTTTAAAAAAATCTTTACCAGATCCAACTTTGGTCAGACGTCTTAATAACATTATTCCAATATTGACAAAAAATGTTTATGATTATGGTTGTACAGGAATATTTGAAAAGCACAAAATTCTTTATTCATTCAAGATCTGTATAGATATAGAAGAAAGTGTCGGTAATGTTACACCGCAACAATTGGATTTTTTTATCAAAGGATGCGTTACTACTAAGATATCAAGTAGACTCAACCCTACTACATGGCTAGCTACCAGTGGGTGGGAAGACCTATTGAAATTATCTAATGATTTTCCTGAAACTTTTGCAAGTCTACCTGATGACATTACGAAAAATAGTGACCATTGGAAAGATGTAATCACTTCAGTCACTTCGTCACTTCAGAAAAGATCAATTTTATTATAATATACAATCGTTTATTTATGTATTTTAGTGGTATGACATGGATGATCCAGAATTACAAGAATTTCCTTCTAATTATTCCACCGTATTAAGGCCATTCGAAAAATTAATGTTAATACGATGTTTTCGTGTGGATCGAGTCTATCGTGCCGTCATTAATTATATAATCGAAGTTATGGGTGAAGAATATGTAACGCCACCCCATATCAGCCTGGATTTAATTTTTGAACAATCCACTGCTATGATGCCAATCATTTTTATTTTAAGTCCTGGTTCGGATCCTACTTCTCAGCTAATGAAACTGGCAGAACGATATGGTTTCGGTGTTGGAAAATTCAAATATTTATCGCTTGGTCAAAATCAAGAGAAGGTAACTTGTAATTGTCATTGAATATTATATTGCACATCACCATAATTATTATTCGTTACTTCAGAATGCAATAGAATTATTAGAAACAGCTATATTCAGAGGGCAATGGTTAATGTTACAAAATTGTCATTTATTATTAAATTTCATCAAAGAATTAGAAAATCGTTTAGACAATCTAGAGAAACCACATCCTGATTTTCGCCTATGGCTTACTACTGACCCAACTCCCAATTTTCCAATAGGGATTTTACAACAATCTTTAAAAGGTTGAATTTTCTATTTGATATATATTTTGTATTTCTATATCAATTGGAATAAAAAATAACGCTACTTCGTATATCTTTGTTTTCAGTTGTTACAGAGCCACCAAACGGTTTAAAACTTAATTTACAAAATACTTATTTGAAAATGCCACCGCAGATTCTGGAAAATTGTGATCATCCTGCCTATAAACACCTTATTTATGTACTAGCATTCTATCACGCTGTTATACAGGTAATATAAATAACTTTATATAGTAATCTATAAATTTTATTAAATTAACATAATCCATGTTTAATCTTACAATGGACAGGAAAGAAGAAAATATGATAAAATTGGATGGAATATAAATTATGATTTTAACGAATCAGATTTTAATGTATGTACTTCTATATTAGAAACTTACTTGACCAAAGCTTTAAGGTCTAATGATCCAAGAATACCATGGAAAAGTTTAAAATACTTAATAGGAGAAGTAAGTGATATCTAAATAAAATTAAAATCAATAATTATTTGAAGATAATAATTTTTATATAAATTTATAACATTACGTGAGGATATTCGCAATTATAAAAACTTTCAGGTAATGTATGGTGGTAGAGTAACTGATAATTATGATCGTCGAGTGTCGGAGACTTATATGAATGAATTTTTTGGTGATTTCCTATTTGATACCTTTCAACCTTTTCATTTCTATTATGACGACTACGTTGATTATGTCATACCACCAGAAGGGGATTACGAAGAGTATTTAAATTTCATCGAAGAATTACCTTTGGTTAATACCCCAGCGGTTTTTGGTCTTCATTCTAACGCAGAAATTGGTTACTTTACTCAAGCTACTAGAGAGTTATGGGCCAATTTAATAGAGCTACAGCCACAAACAGGTAAAAAGCTATAAGAAAGAAATTCTTACAGATTTAAAACTATTTATATTATTGTAAAAATAAAATAAAATACAAGCTTTTTTTGTCCTGAATGTCAATAATAAAAATGCTATGTGCCAAATAATTATAATTCTCCTTTAGACAAGTGCAATATAAGCCATGCCATTAAATATTTTTATCATAGCTGTTAGCATAACGGGAATCAGTAAAGAAGAATTTATAGATAACATAGCAAAAGAAATTCTTGAAAGGATACCCCTAGAATTTGATTTAAGTAAAATAAGAAGAACTTTTGGGGTGGATATCACCCCATCGACAATTGTGCTCTTTCAAGAATTAGAAAGGGTCAATAAATTGATAAGTACAATTTCAAAGACTCTTTCTCAGCTAAGAAAGGTAATAATCAATTATATACTTAATAAACGTGCAATTGCAAAATTAATACATAAAAATTTTATAAACCAATAAAATTGTTACAGGCTATTGCTGGAGAAATAGGAATGGATTCCACTCTTGATAATATTTCCATTGCTCTCTATAATGGTGTTTTACCCAAAGAATGGCTCAAACTAGCGCCAGACACAAGAAAAAATCTTGCTAACTGGATGGATCACTTTCAGAAGAGAATAATACAATATACAGATTGGGTTTGCTGATATGATTTGTAAATGATTCGATAATGAGCAATGTAGCATATGTTTATATAAACTAAAAATTTTGTTGTAGTCTGGTATCAATGAGCCAGTAGTTATGTGGTTGTCCGGGTTGCACGTGCCAGAGACTTATCTAGCGGCTCTAGTACAAATAACGTGTCGTAAAAATAATTGGCCGTTAGATCATTCACTTATTTATACGACCGTAACGAAATATACCAAAGTAGATGCTATAGAAGAAAGGCCTGAACAAGTATGTCAATGAATTATTATACAATGAACGAATTAATTCTTGCATCAATAATATTTATATGAATCAGTCGTAATTGTATGAACATTACAAGTTAACTGTCAACTTTTAAATGAAAGGGTTGTTACATATATGGTCTGTACTTGGAAGGAGCCCGATGGGATATAGAAGAAAACTGTCTGAAAAGATCTTATCCAAAAATTCTTACTGAAGAATTGCCAATTCTTTTGGTAATACCAATTCAAGCTCATAGACTCAAACTTCAGGTATAATTATGATACATTAAAAACTACAGATTTAAAAAATTCAATCCGATGAGTGTATATTTTGTTTTTCTTTTTTATTTTCTTTCATTATAAATTTATATAGAATACAGTAAAAACTCCAGTGTACACAACGTCAAATAGACGCAATGCAATGGGTAAAGGTTTGATATTTGAAGCAGATCTTTCAACAGAGGAACATATTTCACACTGGATTCTACAAGGCGTATGCCTTTTACTTAATACAGATTGAATTAATTTCATAAGAATAAGTAATAGATTGTTATAAATGCGAAAATTTATTCTATAATCCATAAAATAGATGTTGTTTATCAATTATTGCAATAATGATTAATCCTATAAAGTATATACAATAAGAATAAAGAAAAAAATAAAAAAAATGTGTATATCAAGTTATTTTAATTTGTGGTAAACAAAGATTATAAAAGGAACTGTAAACAAAGTCTCTAATACTTTGCCATCTTACCCATTGATTACTTTTTAATTCTTCTATGCTTTTGGCTTTACCTATAAAGTGCGGATCAACGATTAACAAATAGACTTCTTTCAATCCAATATGTATACCAATGATACATTTACTAGAACAATCTTGATCTCCTCCCATCATAATTGGACATCCAAATTCTTCGAAATGTTGTCTAATGACATGCAAATATTTTGACAGTTCTCGACCACTTCTAATGTGAACAATTTTACTATTTACGTTATATAAATTATCCAGAATAAGACATACCTATAAGTCGAATAACTAGTAAATTAATTTCTTATTAGAGAAATATCTAAATTTTGTAAAAAAAATATTATATCTTTAATAGAAGACTCACTTCGAAGCATCCTATCCAATCTTTTGACCCGATAAATGGTTTCTCTTTATCCTCCAATGTAACAAGCGTTTCTTGAATTTTTCGTATACTTGGAACTTTTTCTTGTAAATTCTTATTAATTATAATCCATGAACAAATGGTTTGCAATGTTCTATATCCACAACCCCATCCCTAAATAAAAAATTCTTCAGACACACATATTATTCTTTGTACATATTATAATTTATGTGATTGCGTTTCGATTATATCATATATATATATGTATATATATACATATATATATATATATATATATATATATATAAGATTATCTACCCTATCATTAAAACCATCACAACCATAATGCCAATATTCATAAATTCCTCGTATAATCGTACTCTTGCCTGTACCGAAAGTAGGAAGGCTTTCATGGATATTTTTTAACAAATTAGTAGAATAATCAACAATCATCCTTCTGATATAACAAACCACGTGGTTACTATTTGTTACATATATACAATAACGAAGTACTTGTATAATGAATATAATTAAAATAGGAGTATTAAAATAGAATAATTATACCAATTTGTTATGAATTACATACATTTCCTCAAAGTCGTCGTTTTCGATTTTCCTCCGGAATTCTTAAATGAACTCAAAATGACAATAAACTGTTACGAATACGGAATAGATGGATACTTAGGATGCATTTACAAATGCTCAAGCAGAGATAACGTCATCCAAAATACGTGAGTAAAAATGTATAGGAATAATCCATCTAAGACTAATAAGGTCTATGGATGTAAACATTAAAACTTTGAAAATATAGCACGAAGTGGCGCTTCGATCGATGTCAAGTCTATTTTAAGCTGGTTCAATAGTTCTGTTTTCCTTTGAAAAAGTATTGTTATCGCAGATCAGATTTTACGACTTTAAACGTACAAAAATGATAATTAGCCTACTTAAAAAATACGTAGTAAGTAAGTAATCATGCTTTTCTTTTCTTAGGAACATTGAAATTATAAATACTGTTATTTCTTTTTGGAAAAGAAAAGATTATATAATAACATGCACCCTGTCATCTGTTTTAGCACCATCGCTACAAAAATGGATGTATAATGTATCTGGTTTTAATAAATACGGTAAAAAATGTTAATCGATGTATTAATCGATATATATGTATATATGGATGTATGTATGTATATATGTATGTATATATACATATATATATATATATATTTGCATAGATACATACACATATATGTACATGGGTCATAGATGTGTCTAAAACAATATTTAATCAATTATAGGATTAATGCGTGATGATGTACGTAGCGAACTGGATCCGGATGTACAAGAAGCATTAAGAAGACTTCCACTACATATAAGAGATGAACGCAATTTTCGCTTAGTAAGAGCCCTTCAGTTGGATACTCAGAAAAGAATTCTACCTAAAGAACAATGGACTAAATTCGAAGAGGTACATGTTTTAATCTGTTAAATATTGTAAAAAAAATTATTAAAAATGATTTATTTTTGCCAACTCTACCGAGTCATTTGTATGTTTAACATATATGAGTTGTGTGGTGTTACATAATTATTGTATTATAAAATTTCTTCTCTCTAAATAAGATTTATAGTAAACATATTTTATTGTTGTTACTTAATTTGTTATTATTTTTACAGGATGTATTATATCTTACCCCATTAGTAGATGAAGTTGTTAAAGAACGAGAAGAAAAAGAGAGATGGAATCTTGAATAAAACTTGATTAAATCTATTAGCAATTAGTTCTATACTTTATAGCACATTGATACTTGTGTCATTTAACATGAAGAATGTGTTTATAAAACTTATAAATAATGTATAAATTATATATAAATATATTAAATGAAATATAGTATATCTGTATAATTTGTTTTATCTGTTTATTAAAATAAACAATTTGTTTCGTTTCTATACAAATTATTAACCACGTCTTTTATATAAAATGAAAAATTCCTTTAGATGTTCCCCATTATTTGTGTATATACATATCTATGTATCGCACGCGCACGATTCAATTTATCAAGATACATAAAAGTAAACATAAATTATTTCATATAATTTCGACATAATGAAAGTAATTGTAAGATTGTTATGAAAACGTTTAGATTAATAAAGATCTTTGCTGTATTTATAACGGTTAACGACAATTATGCTTCGCATACCGGTATATTTAACGTATTTAACATCCTTTATGCAACCTTAAACGAGTCATTTCCTAGCGCGTATAAATCATAGACAAATCGATGAGATGTCAGAGTAACGGTAAAATAGAAAAATGACGAAGCAAAATAAAAATATAAAAGCATATAAATAAGATGTAATATTTATAAAATGTTAGTAAAATAAATCAATCTATAACGTCTATAAAGGAGTTTCGTGGGTAAATACTGGATCAATATCTCATTCCCTCTCCCTTTGAGGGGGATGCGGCACAAGTATCTCCGGTTGTGAAAGACTTATATATTGGTTCGCGAATTTGACGAGCATTTTTATTCGCGATATCTTTCGCATTTTATTAATTTAAATTGAAATATTGACAAGATATCACGTTGACAACGACCACTAATGATCGCATCGAATCGTATCGCTTTACAAAAAGTGCTCAGTTATAAAAGGTAGGAGATTTAGATAGACGTTCGAAGGGCAATAGAAAACATGATGGCAACGGAGAGACAAGATCTGTAAAAGGACAGACACGCGTTATCGACTAAAAACCTTCGAAATCTTTGCCGTCAACGAACTTATTCCGTTCTCGCTATTTGATTATCATTAAGACGTAACCAAATCCAATTTTTCTGACATTACATCCAATGATTTTTCTTGAAACAAATTACTTTTTCTTTTAAAGTAAAATATTCTTTACTTATATTTTCTTTTTTATCGATTTATTAATCGGAAACACGAAAATTGATCGCGATGTAGGAGAGTAAAAAATAAGAAGTGCAAAGTGCAAAAAGGAATCTTCCAATCTATACTTTACTCCTGTAAGAAATTTGACAAAATTACAATTTTGCTTGTAGAACATTTCTATGAGATCAATTAAAGTTGCAAATTAAGGTGTAAACATAATATTGTTTCAAAAAATATTTTTAATATAACGTTTGAAATTTTATTGCAAATAAATGTTTAATATTATATAATTCTTCTGAACATCTCTTTTTCAGATGTGGTCACTGCAAAAACTGGCATGCATTTGTGAAAGGAAGATGCTGACAAAGAATAATTCCAAAACTGAACATTATAATTGTGACCCAAGCAAAACTGGCAAATATATAAGGGTTATTAAACATCAATAATTTTATTGCTTAAACAATTATAGGCTAACGAGCAATAAAGTCATGCCGTTAGGTAAAACAGGTGCTGTATCGAAATACTACCTCTGTTGTATGTACAAAAATATAAACACATAATTGATTGTGTTAGAAACAAAATAAAAAATATAAATATACACTTAAGTGTATATACAAAGATATATATTCTGGTGATTAATATTTACATATACTAATATATAATACTCTTCAATGAATTTGAATTACTATTGAAGAGCTTTTTCTTGATATATGTTTGTTCATTTGATATCTATTGTTATGCAAATATTAAGGAAAACAAGTTGATTGCGCCTATTAACTTTAAGACAGACATATATAACGCCAAAAAAAAAAAATACTCATCGCACTGTCAAAGCTCAAATAGCACTGTTTATTAATAACATAAATATGAGCATACCATATGATGAAAATCTCATTTGGATACTAATAGTTGGGTTCATAGTAGCATTTGCCCTAGCATTTGGCATAGGTGCCAATGATGTTGCAAACAGTTTTGGGACAAGCGTGGGTGCCGGGGTCCTTACAATTTTTCAAGCTTGCATCTTGGCAACTTTCTTCGAAATTGCTGGTGCTGTACTGATAGGATATAAGGTATACTCTAATAGTGTGAGAGAGAGAGAGAGAGAGAGAGAGAAAAGGAGAGATCCAGTGATTATGCATAGTAAATATTTAATTTCCCAACAAATTTGCTTATCGTTTTTCTATTGTTAGGTCTCTGATACAATGCGTAAGGGTATACTAGATGTCACATTATACGAAAACCATGAAAAAGAATTAATGATAGGAGCACTTTCTAGTCTAGCTGGATCTGGAATCTGGTTATTGCTTGCAACGGCATTACGACTTCCAATTTCTGGTACACATTCCATTGTTGGAGCTACCGTAGGATTTTCTCTTGTTTGCAGGGGTACAGCAGGGGTCTGTAACACTTTAAATTTATTTAATAATAAATGATTTATTGATAATAATTAATAGTTAATAATTGTATTAAAATTTACAGGTAAAATGGATTGCCCTAATAAATATAGCAGCATCCTGGTTTGCAAGCCCCTTACTCAGCGGAATCGTATCCGCTGTTATCTTCTGGCTCATAAGAAAATTTGTATTAAGGTCTAGCAAACCTTTTGAACAGGGACTTCGTATACTTCCTTTAGCATATGGCCTCACTATCGCTGTCAATGTCATGTCAGTTGCACATGATGGACCTAAATGTGTGTGATTATATTTTACCTATATTTACATGATATTACAGGAAGAAACAATAATATTTTTTTATTCCACACAGTGTTGATGTTGGACAGAATGCCATGGTGGGGTAGCTTGACGGCTGCATTGACTTTAGGATTATTTTCAGGAATTATTGTTTATTTATTTGTTGTACCGTGGCAAAGAAAAAGGATAATTTTATCTGGCCCTGGTGGTGAAAAAAAGACGGCCTTGTGTACGTGCGATAAAAGAGAAACAACAGCTATGTCTATAATTTCGGAAAATCCATGTACTAGTAATAGCGACACAAAAGAAGTTGCTGCACCAAAGTTACGCGGTAATAGTAGTGCTAGTCCACTTTTAATAGTAGGTGGTTCTAATGCCGAAGAAAGTCAAGCAGAGAACGATAAGAAAGACGAAGAACAACCAGAAGTGTCAAAGTTATTTTCATTTCTACAAGTATTAACAGCTGGTTTTGGTAGTTTCGCACATGGTGGTAATGATGTTAGCAATGCTATTGGTCCTCTCATAGCATTATGGTCAATATATGCAGAAGGTTCTGCAAAACAAGAAGCTGATACACCAATATTAATACTACTTTATGGTGGATTAGGTATCTCTGCTGGCTTATGGATATGGGGACGTAGAGTAATTCGTACATTAGGACAAGATTTAGCACGTATAACACCCACTACAGGCTTCACTATAGAGGTAAATAATTGATAAGCTTTTGTTACAATTAATATAACTTATATATATTTGGGAATGTATCACGTAAAAACGTATAGTATTTATATTTTCGATATTCTAGGTAGGAGCCGCAGTGACAGTTTTGTTGGCAAGTAAGGCTGGTTTACCTGTGTCAACGACTCATTGCAAAGTAGGATCGGTGGTATGTGTTGGATGGGCATCGCGTGGTGGTGAGGGTGTTTCTTGGAAATTGTTCAGAAATATTGCTTTTGCATGGTTGATAACTGTACCAGTGGCTGGTTGCCTATCTGCAGGCTGTATGGCTATTTTTAAAGAAGTTCTTACTTTATGATTTTATTATTTGAATAATTTCAGATGATTTAGGGAAGCCATTCAATAATAAAACTGCTGTGAATAAATCATGCAGAAATAAATAATTGAACACCATTTCTCTGAGTCTAAATTATTCACAACCTACAGAAATGTGATTATAAAAAATAAAATGCGATTATGCATTATCGAATCGCGAAAATCAAAGTTGTTATTATTAGATCGATAGAAAATCGCGTTGTTATAGCAACATATACGTGTATATATATATATATATATACACTATATATATATATATATATATATATAGGCATCTCTTTAGAAAAGTGAATTTCTCCAGTATTAAAGAAGTTCTATTACATAAAATAGTAACAGTAATCTTCGGCCGTCTTTTTATCTTCGTATATATTTTTAATTTTTAATATGGAAGGCTTACCTCTCATACCCGGCTATAGTTTTCGTGATCCAAGTGTAAGTTTCTCCAAATTTTCTTTTGCTAAATGTGACGAGGCGCAATCGTTATTTTCTAATACAACAATATAATGATGTGTTTAATATTCCTAAAGATACAAGATTACAGGCTCAAGCACAGATTTGACTTTTCAAATGGTTTTCGAGTGTTAAGTGATAGTAAATTCGGTATTGGAGGAAGACCTATCGATGTTGCATCTCTTGCCTATATGGAGGAGAAAGATCCCATACAGTAAGTTATTAGAAGATCATCATCAAGAAATTTCAAGCTTTACCAATTCTTAGGAAAAAATACAAAGTCTGCCGTAAGTTTAATTAACTTCTTATCATTAATTCAATTATTATGATTGATATATTAAACTTAGATACGATCCATCGTTAACGTATGGTCGCGTACGTGATTACGGATATCAACAGTTTGTACCACATTACGCATTGTTCGCGCAAAAGTGTCTTCGTTTTAAGGCTTTTTTTCGTCAAGGAGTTTTTCATTCTCCTAACGAACATTTTCGTATACGTCATGTATACATTATATATTTCTTAGAGGACGATACTTTATGCGTAACGGAGCCTTCTATAGAAAATGCTGGCTTTTCGCAAGGTAAACTTGTGAAGCGTAATAGAGTTGCGAAGACCATCAATGGCGATTATTTCCACTGGAAAGATCTTAATGTTGGTAAAGATATATGTAAGTCTAAACCATTTTAATGAATTTTCTTAAATTAATATTCGATCGACAGTATTATAGTTTATCATTTTTGGACTGATATACACTTCTTTATACCTTTATAATTACACTTTTACGTTACTTACAGGCATCCACGGGATAGTTTATCATATTATTGATTGTGATCTATTTACGAGAGAATTTTTGAGTAGTCAGGGTATAGATGTGGGAGATAAAGAAGACACGCCCATAGATCCGTACATAGAAGATCGTAAAATGAAAGTTAAAGCTACGACATGTGTTACTCGAATGCCCGATGATACAAGGCGACGTTTTTTAGAATATGATAGAATGATTTTATCATTCAACGCCAAATGGAATGACGATTTTTATCAAATAATGTATTTCTTGATGGACGATACCATAGCTATACGCGAGGTTCATAAACAGAACGATGGCAAGGATCCTGTAACAATGCTTTTAAAAAAAGTAAAAGTACCAAAAAATTGGAAATACCTTCCATCGTCCTATCCAGGGATATATATGGAATACGGTGATCCTGAGATAATAGAGTATTATACGCCAAAGGATTTCAAGGTAAACAAGTAATTTTACATTCTTTAAAGCATAATGATTTAAATTGAATCGATATCCTTCTTATATATTAGATAGGTGAGACTGTATATATATTTGGGAGACAATTTCTTTTATACGATTGTGACCTTTTTACCAGAAAATATTATTCGGAAGTACTGAGGATAATTCAGCCCAACAATATTCCTATTGATTCACCTAATGATCGGATAAAGCTATTGTCTGAATTTAAAGTACCTCCGCATATCAAATTTGGAACCCCCGAGGACACATACGCTAGCTGTTTATCCTTTAGAGTTAAACCACCTAAAAAGGATGTTATACGACAATTATCTAATTTCCCTCGAAAATTACGTTATTCCATGAAGATGGATAACGTACATCCTGAAGATCAAGATCGTGATTTCATTTTAGAATACAATTTAAGCGAAGGTACCGTGCTGATACAAGAGCTCGAAAAGCGCAATTCTGGTCGTCGCGAAGGGTGCTTCTTGAAAGCAATGCTCGTTACAAAACCTGGGACTGATAGAGATAATCCATTATATTACACGCCTCAAGACTTTTTTATTGGAGCCCAAATTAATATTTTTAATCATTACTTTACTATAAACGGCGCTGATCTATTTGTATATCGTTATATGGAGGCAAATCCTGAAAAGTTTTGTCAGCAGATACGTGATAATATGCGCAATTATTTTGCACAGCAACAACTACTTCAAAATGATATAATGATAGAAACAAAGAAAATACAACAGAGACAACACGACGCGGACATCTTTGGAGAAAAAGAAATGGAGAATGAAGTTCCTACAAATTCTCAAATTTGTCAGGATGTTGAAGGAACAATAAAAGAAATTTTGTAAAACACAAAATGAGATCTTCCGTCACTGCCTTAATTTAGTTATAACAAATTCATTAAATATTTCTATTTTTTTTTGTTTTCTTTTTTTATCTATCACAGAGAATACAGAGAAATTTGTATTTGCCAATGCTAAAACAGAATCAAATATTTAGAATTAAGCAACAAATGTAACTAACATTCATGCACTCTATTTAAATATTATTATCAAAATTATTTAACTTACTACAATCCCATGATCCTTAGAATATATTAATAACTTTCTCTGAAAATGTATAAAGTAGAAAAAAAAAACTAAAAAGGAATATTTCTTTGACATTAACAAGTGGATCCAACTCAAGATCGTAATATTACTGATACTGTGTGTATTTATATATTGCAGAAGGTAAATAATAATTATTGATTATTGCAAATGTGTTATCACTTTTGCATAAACTATGAATTATAAAAGTCACTTTAGTCTATACAAATGTTATTGTTTGGTAAAGAGAAATAGCTTACAACGATGTAATATAAGTTGTTTAGACGTAAATAAACTGAAGCAGAAATCTAATGATACTATTTTAGACAACCGTCAGATATTACCGAGAATTTAATTAGCCAGTTTTTAATTAACCAATAACCACAAGTAAAGCTATAACGAAAGATAGGAAGAAATCTTTCCTTTTTAAATATATTTTTTTACATTGTAAGTTTGTGTGTGTGTGTATGTATGTGTGTGTATGTGTGTGTGTGCACGCGTGCGCGTATGTGTGTATATATACACACACATATGTGTATATATATATACTATATATATATATATATATATTTTATATACATATAATATATATATATATATATATATATATATATATATATTAGTTGCCTAAAATATTGATTTACTACTTGCACTTGCAGATTGTAAAATTGATAGATAATATAGATTACTGTTCTCTAAAATACGCAGCACTTTCATCAAAAGCATTGTTTTAGATAGAGATGATCTAGACATAATAATCTAAGCCTAATAGAAAAATGCAAAATAAATCTGTTCCATTGTAGAAATAATTCTAATTTGCAAGATATATTTTTTTATCCATTGTAGAGATTATACTATACCACAAGAGAAATTATAGTAACATATTTAACAATAAGAATCTTGCTTCGTGAAATACATGTCACATTGTAAAATAATAATCATCAATATTATCGTTTAAGTTACAACAAAGTAACTGCACAATATTGTTACCCCTTCCTCCTCCTCCTCCTCCTCCATCTCCTCTTCCTCGCCCCTTTATTTTTCCTCGAACCATTTTCGCAGTCCATGGTTAATAGAGTAATAGATGAATCAAAACAATCAGTTGATAATAACTATAGCTATCATTCAATGGTCAAGCATAATGATTATAAACAGAACATTGAATAAGCTCCTGCATCCCTTTAACAAAGAAAGGAAAGCCCTCTCAGTTGCAGGCACCAGATTATATGTCCACTGACGTTTAGAACATTGATTAATTTAAATGACACTTGATATAATATTGTTCTCGCGTAGATTTTTTACATTTTCAACAAAAGTTTAAGCATTTTACAAGAATTAGTCCATGTATTACAGTTTTTTTCCTTCTGTTCCATATCCTGTGTTTTTTTCCTTTCATTTTTATTAATTTGTACGTTTAAGAAACACCTTTCGACGAATAACACGCAACACCACACTAGATACTTATTACCGTCATCAAGTTTACCCAATATCCTTTGAGACTGAATTATCTTCTTCTTCGTAATATTTATTATTACATAATATTTATTACGCTAACGCGACGCTAATTATCATATGTATTATTAATCATTTAATAAAAGAAAGTGGCCTCGGAATGGAGAGTGAGTTCCATGATGGAAAGACAAGGCCCATTTCAAATCCTGAAAAGCGAACGTATGGAGTAAGATGATAATTAGCCGCAGCGTTCTTCCTTTACATTCATTTATCTTGCCAATAATAATAGCTTTCAGCTGTATTCATTGCTACTGACGAGAACCTCCTCTGCCTCTACCACGGCCACCATCTCGATCCTAAAAATAACGGGGAGAAAGAGATAAGAGTATGTTATCTATCTTTTATGAATGACCATTGTTTAAAATCAATCCTTACCTTGCGTTGATGTTGATGAAGATGATGTTGAGAGTGTTGATGATGATCTCGTGACAAATCTCCAGGATGTCCTCTATTTCTGTGGTTGGAAGAAGGATGATGATGTTGCATAGAATTCAAGGGTGCCTTGCGTTGATCTTCTTCTGCTTGTCTTCTTTCGTAATGTCCAAAATCATCAAAAATACTAGTAGAATGACGATAAGTATGCAATATACGCAGAACTGTTACACCTTTCGCATGAGGAACTTCTTGTGCATCCCTCGAATTGGTTACTGGCTTATACTCATTATTCTCTAATTTAATATGTCGTAATTCCCCATTAGGGACATCTTTGACATAAATCCAACGTACTCTAAATTGTCCCTTCCATTTGTCTTGAGACCAAACAGAGCTGTTACTTTGATAATCGACAGGAGAAACCATTTGAGCCATTCCACAGAAGTGGCCAGATCCATTAACAGAAAAAAAAAGATACAAAGGTGCACCTTCGCGGCTAGCTTCTCTATATGCCTGATCCAGTCTTTTGTTTCCATGTTCCGTACTACACCAAATTTCATATTTAATGGATCTATGAATGTCATCTTCTGAATAAGATTTAATTACAAAAAACCTAGCTCCAGGTGCAGTCTGATCAAATTCTACCGGATTATAATCATTTTTCACTTTGAGTTCGTCCAAAACAGGATGAGATTGTGTTTGCACAAGCTGTTGTTGTTGCTGTGACTGCTGTGACTGCTGTGACTGCTGTTGTTGCTGCTGCTGCTGTTGCTGTTGCTGTTGCTGTTGCTGTTGCTGCTGCTGCTGTTGAGTTTGATGCTGCTGATGCTGATGTTGCTGGTGTTGCTGATGTTGCTGATGTTGCTGATGTTGTTGGTGTTGTTGATGTTGTTGGTGCTGTGAATGTTGCGGGTGTTGCGATTGGGTTGGCATATGAATCTGTGATTGGGGAAGTGGCGGAGGAGTTGTTGGTTGCCTGTTCCAGCAAGGCGGAGGAGGTGGTCTCTGTCTTTGCACGGGTGGTGGAGGTGGCGGAACTGGTGGTTGCACTTGCGGCGGCGGTGGTGCAGTTGGAGGAGGAGGAGCAGATGATTTTCCTTCGCCCCATGTTCCTATATCCATATTGTGTTTTCCTGGTACAATGGGCGGTGGTGGCATTCCAGCTTTCTTTTTCATTCCTTGAGACGATGAAAGTGGAGGAACTGGTTTAGCAGGTTGACTTGCAACACTTGCCCAAGTGACTTTTCTTGGCTCCTTTACTTCTGATTTTATCTGCTGATTAGATGTTGTTTGTTGATCTTGTCTTGGAACCTCCCCACTTCCAATCGATAAGCTTTGTACACTTTGTTCAATAGTCTTAATAGCAGCGCTACTTGGTGTTGGATAACTCTCATTTCCCCTTGGTGCTTGATAATAATCTTCGTAGCGAGTTTTTCTAGGTGTGCTCCAAGCACTAAAATCACCATTTCCATGGAAATAATTGAAGGCAGGTTGACCAAATGTACTAAAACCACCACCAGCACTCGCGGAGAACATTCCATCCATACCATATGCATCATGACTTATTTGGCCTCCATATCCAGAGAGAAATGCAACTGGATCTGTCCCATTTGACCAGGTACCATCCCCAGCACCAAACGCTTGATAAGGAAATGACGTGCTCGCATAGTATTGACTGTAAGGATCACCAGTACTAATTGGATAACTCGAATGATGTTGCGTATTGTTACTTCCTCTCCATGAATCAAATCCAGTATCTTCTCCAGCAGCATGTTCTGATTGTTGTTGCTGTTGCTGATGTTCTTTGGGACCATTGCTTACTAGAGAACATATTGTTATAAATTAACTTGATAACAATGTCTCCAAAATATTACTATTGAACCGTATAATTCTTAATAATTTAAATACAGGCCACGATATATTTTATACTGACAGCTACGATATTGAGAATACATATGTGTTAAAAATAACATTAATACAGTATAGAAAATATCAATATACTTATCAAAGCAATTATATTATCTCTCAAGTGCAGATGAGTGCATAGATATGATATTGTTTGTTTCTGAATCAAAGGTAACAAAATTATTTATAATAAAAGTAGCCTTCTGAGTGAATAAAATTATAATGTTCTTAAATTATATTGAAAAATTGATACGTAAGAATGTGTAAACAATTTGAAATGCCATACTGTATGATCTGTCTTATATTTTATTAAATAATATTATATTGGATAAATATAAATAATAATAAAGCAAAAGGAAGGATTTATTTTCACTCTCCTCAATGAATACACAGTTTAAAATATATAAACATACACAGATATTAAATAATTACAAATACAAATTGTAACATCTACTTATAACATAAGATTAAAACTTGAAAGATATCTGTATAAATAATATACTTTTTCAAAGATATATGCGTATTTATCATGCAATTTATTAGTTATTAGCTTTCTCTAATACGTTATTTATTGGACTACTTAGATTGAAGGAAGCGGAGAACATGCAGATTATATCAAATTCTAGAACCATTTCCTTTTCCATTTTTTTCTTATTTTTTTATATATATATATATTTTTTTTCCGAATATATGACTATTTTAAATAATTTAATGTCCTATGTAATGAGAAATTAAACAATATGAATATACAGATTTGTAAGATTTTGAATGTACACATAATGCGTTGCATATACAATACAAATATTATGTATGTATACATAGATACGGTATACGTCCTTATACGTGTACACGACAGTGTCGCGCTCGCGTGCGCGCGCACACACATACATGCGTTAAAGGTAGATATAGTATAACTCGACATACACGCGCAAAAGTCAAAAGAGCGACGTAAAAAGTGCAATAACAATAAAAAGGTCTTACCTTGATTGTTGGTTTGCCCTTTCATCCGCTGCATTCCGTTGCATGAAAAAATATAGAAAATTTAGAATGGCTGCTTCAGTGAAAGGAATGTGCAGAGTAGCAGTGTGGTAGCAAGTCAACACACTGACCTGATTTGAGACAGCACCTGCCAATCCAGCTGACATAACCTGTCGTACGGTCCGTCTGCTCTTTACAGACGTCGAAACGACGGCAATGCTTTAAAAAAAGAATAGTTTTCAAATGCAACACCAGAATATTACATAGGACACCGCGAATACTTTCC